CTCTAAAGTCATTCTCAAACCGAGACATGGTTACGTCCCCAAGGCGATTGGCACGCCTTTTAGAGCACAGGTCATCTCCCTATCGGCTCTGCCAGCATCTGATAGCGAGGACGATGGTAACCTTCTGTGCCCCGTCAGGGCGCTGAGAATTTAAATCACGCGCTCCGCCACCTTCAGGCGTTCTGAGCAGCTCTTTGTTTCGTTTGGAGGGCGCACCAAAGGTCTCGCTGCCTCGAAACATAGCCTATCCAGATGGATAGTGGACGCTATCGCAGCAGCTTACGCGTCCAAACACCTGCAGTGCCCTATGGGCATCAGGGCCCATTCCACTAGAGGCATGGCTTCGTCGTGGGCTTGGTCCAGTGGGATTTCTATTCACGATATTTGTATGGCGGCAGGCTGGGCCTCCCCCTCGACATTCGTGAGGTTCTATAACCTGGAAGTTCCCGCCTTGCAGGCTAAACTTTTGTCAGTCTAAAGTGATGTGTATGTTCTGCCCAGTTGTTTATGTGCAGGCCAATCTCATATCGGTGAGGCGAGCTATACATAGACCGGCTGAGCCGATCTGTATTTCCCTATGACGCGCCGGTATACCTGCGCGGGCCCGCTTTGCTGGCCCCCTATTCCCATACAGCTGCGCGAAGGGGTAATGCTTACTATACATAGTCCGGCGGAGCCGCTCTATTATCTGCCTATTATGTGCTTGTGAACTGTGCTGGCCCGCGTTGCTGGCCGCCTTTATTCTACATTATACATAGACCAGCAGAGCCGCTCTGTGTTCCTATCAAGTGTCTATTACATGTGCTGGCCCGCGTTGCTGGCCGCCTGTTGTTCTGCATGTTTTGTTCCACGGGTCTCCCTGGGTCTCATGCAGCGGATGCTTGGCGCGCACGGCGTTGACAAGGGGTTCCCGTAGCGTAAGCAACTTACGCAATACGAGAGAACCTCTCGAAAGAGAACGTATTCGGTTACCTAATGTAACCTCGGTTCTTTCTAGAAGAGGGAACGACTATTGCGTAACCTGCCGTGCTCGCGCCATGAGCTTATTCGCTTCAGTCAATGAAAACCAGAGTTCAGCCCGTCGAGCCCCACTTTTATATACGCTAGCCACTCCCATTCTGGCGGGCTGTGACGCGTAGAAGGGCCCGACATTATGCGGGGCTCACCGATAGGCTGCTGCAGTTGCTGCAGGACAGCCAATGAGCACGCTTATACAGCCTGCTATGGTCTGCTGTCCGCTGCACTGCGTTGACAATAAATACAAAATTAAGGATAATGTTTTGGCTTCAGATCTCGAGAAAAGATGACTTTACCCGTAGCGTAAGATTTCTGCTTTTGCACTTATTTAAATTAGGATATTTTACATTAATTTTATGGTTTTTGCATGGCAGCCATTGCTGACAGTCATTGACTGTTTTTTATGGGATTGTTTTTACAGTTAGGGTGTTTGATCGTAATAATCCAGATGATAGCTGTAAAATAACAGTGTTTTTCTGTAAAACATTTAAGAAAAATATCTATAAAAGGTTTTTGCACTTAATTTAAATTAGGATATTTTACTTTATTTTTAAGGTTTTTGTTTGGCAGCCGTAGCTGCCAGTCATTTGACCCTTTTTTTACGATTTTATTTTTTACAGTGTGTGAAACTCTCTCGAATACTTTTAATACAGCTATTATACGTTTTTACTATTACAGCTATCGAGATTAACGAATCGTGAGAAGTTTTTAAAGTATTTAGATCTATTCCCATCACATAAAATGTTGCCGTGATGAGCATTGAGCAAGCAGATGACAGTCTGTTGATCGCGAGAATAAAGATCTTATCATTGCAACGCAGTTTCTGCACTCTCTCTAATGCTTTCACCAATGCAAACACGATGATACAGTAAGAGCTTCGTTGTGCAGTGTAACGTGAGTCATTGATTTCATAACGAGTTGTCAGATAAACTCGCACGGTGTGGAAAGATTGTTCTTTTGACCGCTTTCTGTATAATTTGTTCACAGATTAAATAAGATTATTTTCATCCTACTAAAAGAAACGATGTGAAGTTGATATTTTAGTCACTGGCTTGACTTATGCATAAACCGTATTGAACGATTTTGAGAGAAAGATTACCTTTCTCTGAACTTGTGTCTGAACTTGAACAATTAGGCTACACATCAGAAATTGTTGCTTGGTAGCTCGATCAATTTATTTTCAGACGTTCATCGAGGCCAGCTCTGTATTGGCCTAAGTTGAGGAAACAGTCGTCGGTGAAATGTTTGGACCATACAAAACTTTGGGAAGTTGTGTCGGCGCATTTCCAGAGAAAATAAAATTAACCCATTGTTTCTTCAGAGGCTCGGATGAAGGAACTAAAAAATACCTTTGTGTTCATTTGTACATCCGAACACTGATCAACTGCCATGCTTCGCTCGTTTGCAAGCCATGATATCTCTCGAGGAAAAACTCAAATCGCGTTCGTACTTCTGAGCTCATTTTCTCATGGGCCAGCCAAATTCTCTGTGCGGGCAAAGCAGAGAAAGGGGAGGTAACCTTTCCTCCTTATGACGTCATAAGGAGGAGATTCAAGATCAGCGCGTCTGAGCTGCAGAGAAGAGAAAAATAGCCAAAGCTCGGTTTACACCGATTGAAATTTCTAGCCACTGGGGGACCATATACAGGCTAGGGGAACTCATATTAATGTTAAAAAACCTCAGAAAGTGAAAATTTCATGTCAGGGGACCTTTAAGGGCTATGGGTCTTTCCTATGGCCTCTGTTTTACCACATGACCACATTTTTCACAGCAATAAAACCATCTTATCTGATGGTCGCCCTGGTGACTGAGGCCTTTTCTGCTCTCGTGTCTCTTTTTGGGGGGACATTTCATTACGAAGAGTGGGCTTTAAAGCTTGTTTGTTACATGTAACAAATAATTATGTGTCTGATTTGTCTCAGTCGTTACTGTCAAACACTGTAATGTGTTCGTAATCATATCATTAACAATAAGTGCTCTTGAAAAAAGGGATCTAATATTAAGCAACCTGAGCTTCATCTGTATTATATCTGTTTTTTATTTGTTGAACATCAATTAAGTTCTTACCCTTAAATGGGTTTGGGAATTTTTGTATTTACTAATTCGGGGAACAGACACAGTCTCTATATGATGATATCTAGGTAAAAGTCTTTTGTGTGTTGGGATTTATCTGACTTCTGTGACACAAGAGAGCTAGCAGACGGTCAGTTTAGCCAGTGTGTCTGCTTTCTGACCTTGGCCCCAGATAGTCAAGGTTCAACTTTAAGACTATGAGCCATATTACTAGAGAGAAGAGCAGCACCATCCCAGGAGGGATGAATACCATCTCTTTTTAACAGGTCAGGTCTGCCCCAAAAACTTTTCCAATTGTCTATGAACCCTATATTATTTTGCGGACACCACTTAGACAGCCATGCAATTGAGTGAGGACAGTATCTCATCACTCCGGCGAACAGGAAGGGGGCCAGAGCAAATTACAGTGTCTGGCAGTTAGCTACAGTATACACTTTTAAATTTGCTTTGATGTCAGGCGCTCTGGCTCCCGGCAAACATGTGACTATGGTGGCTGGTGTCTCTATTTTCAAGTTCCGTGTCATAGAATTGCCAATAACTAGGGCACATTCAACAGGATTCTCAGTGGGTGCATCACTGAGTGGGGAGAACCCACTGTTAGGGATGTTAACCGATGACCGTTTGACCGATGGTTGACCGTATCAACGTTAACCGATCAAAGTTGTCAGTAGTCGGTTAAAAAAAAAAGTGATCTCTAAATTAGGCTATTATAGACAGTGGACTAAACGCTACTACAGTTAGCCATCTCATTCCAAGATATTTTTGTGTGAAGTGAACTAATCCCTCACACTCAATTTTTCATAACTCGCCTGTTTGTACTTATTAAACCAATAAAAACATTTGGCGCGAGGTCACAGCGTTTGGGTTTGCGCGCTCACAAGGTTTGCGAAAAGTAAAGGCTACAGGCTAAAACACTCGAGGTTAGAGCCAGGGCAGACGACAGGATGAAGCGTGCAAAGAAAAGAAAGACCATTTCACCAAAAAGAATGACACAGATGTAAGTTGCGGGGGTAACAGTGGTAACAGATAAGGTGATGATGATCATCATCTTTCTTTATTATTGTTAGTGTCACAGGCCGGAGGGAGGTGTGTGTGGGGGCTCTGCTTGTCGACCGCCCCTCCCTCCTTCTACTGTACCTTCCCCCTCTGGGGAGCTACCCCGCAGCTCAAGGACGACGGACAACAGAGTAAAAGTAATCTCTATTTAATTAAAAGGCAATCTCAAGGGGAGAGAACAGGCCAACCGCTCCTCCTGTGTCGACAAGTCCGACCTGGACGACAGCAGTGGGGATTGAGCTCGAGTCGCTAGGCCAACGAGACTGCAGACCGAGTGGATTGGTATGGATTCAGTATGCTCCCTCTTTATGCTCGGAAGCAGGGCTGGATACAACAGCGAGGATGTGGCTTGCTTCGCTGGCTCAGCGGGCCTTTCTTTCTTCTCGGATACAAGACTGGATACAGCAGCGAGGATGTGGCTCGGTTCTCTGGCTCAGCGGGACTTCAGCATAGACTGGTAAACAAGCAGATTAGGATGGATGCAATATGCTCCCTCTTCCTCCGATACAGGGCTCGATGCAGCAGCGAGGACGTGGCTCGGTTCACTGGCTCAGCGGGACTTCAGCATAGACTGGTAAACAGAGTGTGTTAGTATGGATTCAATATGCTCACTCTTTATTCTCAGATACAGGGCTGGATGCAGCAGCGAGGATGTGGCTCGGTTCACTGGCTCAGCGGGACTTCAGCATAGACTGGTAAGCAAGCGGATTAGGATGGATGCAATATGCTCACTCTTTCTCAGATACAGGGCTGGATACAGCCGCGAGGATGTGGCTCAGTTCTCTGGCTCAGCGGGACTTCAGCATAGACTGGTAAGCAAGCGGATTAGGATGGATGCAATATGCTCACTCTTCCTCCGATACAGGGCTGGATGCAGCAGCGAGGATGTGGCTCAGTTCTCTGGCTCAGCGGGACTTCAGCATAGACTGGTAAACAAGCAGATTAGTATGGATGCAATATGCTCACTCTTTCTCAGATACAGGGCTGGATGCAGCAGCGAGGATGTGGCTCGGTTCACTGGCTCAGCATAGAGTGTTAAACAGAGTGTGTTAGTATGGATTCAATATGCTCACTCTTTCTTCTCAGATACAGGGCTGGATGCAGCAGCGAGGATGTGGCTCAGTTCTCTGGCTCAGCGGGACTTCAGCATAGACTGGTGAACAAGCAGATTAGTATGGATGCGATATGCTCACTCTTTCTCAGATACAGGGCTGGATGCAACAGCGAGGATGTGGCTCGGTTCACTGGCTCAGCGGGACTTCAGCATAGACTGTTAAACAAGCAGATTAGTATGGATGCAATATGCTCACTCTTTCTCAGATACAGGGCTGGATGCAACAGCGAGGATGTGGCTCGGTTCACTGGCTCAGCGGGACTTCAGCATAGACTGTTAAACAGAGTGTGTTAGTATGGGTTCAATATGCTCACTCTTTCTTCTCAGATACAGGGCTGGATGCAACAGCGAGGATGTGGCTCGGTTCACTAGCTCAGCGGGACTTCAGCATAGACTGGTAAACAAGCAGATTAGTATGGATGCAATATGCTCACTCTTTCTCAGATACAGGGCTGGATGCAACAGCGAGGATGTGGCTTGGTTCACTGGCTCAGCGGGACTTCAGCATAGACTATTAAACAGTGTGTTAGTATGGATTCAATATGCTCACTCTTCTCAGATACAGGGCTGGATGCAGCAGCGAGGATGTGGCTCAGTTGACAACAATGAGGAATGCGATTTCGTCGTAGGTCTGTTCGTTCGAAATCAGCATGTGGGCCCCTGACGGCAGCCTCGGCGAACAGAATCTCTATGACAGGTGTAAACAAACTCTGCACTGCAATGTCGCATCTGAAGCGCTCCTCTTCTTTCCCCCAAATTAATGTCTGCAGACGCAGTCCCGTTACAACCTCTTCAAGAAACAAAGCGAAGTAAATCTTCCACCCAATAATACTATGACAGACCCTAATACTATGTTCGGTGAAAAGAGACCATCACTTATCTCTTTTAAGCCTCGTACTTTCCACCGCTGGCCACTTCCTCGCTGTCTCTTCACCCGACCTCCGTTGCGTCTCTGCGATTCGCTTCCCGCTCCGCCGCTCGTCCTTCCTCTCCGTATCAACCTCTTTTATGTTCCTCATGGTCCAATCGCCCTTCAGGATCTTTCCCCGCTGCACAGCTGACAACAATCACGCTCATCAACTCTCCTTCCCTGTTTCTCCCTGGGTGCTTCTCAATATCCCTCCTCGTCTCCTCGCTCCTCCGTCCTCCATCCTATGACCCGGAAACCAATCGAGCTCAGCCATCTTGAAGGACATCTCAATTCTCTAATTGCACCGCGAGGAGGTGAGGATCGAGGAGTGAGGAGGCTTCCAGAGGAGCTATGAGCGAGGATACACAGGTGTACCCTTTGCGGAAGAGTTTTATCGACTAAACATGACGCACGTATCAATTCTCCTCCCCCTTCACATCTGTCACAATCATTTGAATTTATACTTTACTTTTGTAGTTTACAAAAACCACACAACTCACATATTTCAACAAGGTATATTGCTTTATTATTATTTATTATGAATTTCTTAAATAAACTAACTTTAACAACATAAGGGCAGATCCTTTGAGCACTGCCGATGACGCAGTGAAGTGACGCTCGAGTGATCAAGTATTCCAATGTATTAAAAAAGCTTTCATTCAATTCCTCCGTCCTCGTTTTTTTCCCTTGCAGCCTTCCCTCGCGTCCTACAGGGGGTGGAGCTGAGACGCGAGGAAAGGAAGCGAGGAAAGGAAACGAGGATGCACAAATAAGAAATGAGAAGCACCCCCTACTTCCGTGTTTTCCCGGAACCGGTCCCGTGTTACGCCGGAAACGTTCCCCGGGCCCAATTTCTGCAACTAAGGTTCCGCTTTTAGTCACCCCGTGACATTAGCACTACCTCAAACTAAAGCGGCGTCTCTTCGGAGCTGTCATTTTATTAAATGAGCCGCGGCAATGTTTCAAATGAGCTTCTAACGCTAGACTAACGCCTTTATTTTCAACGCAATCACCTTGTACCCAAACCATTTCGAAACTAAGGAGCCATTTGTCCTCCGATTACATACAAGCTCCTCGGCGCGGTGCCGCATTTGCGGGACTCATGTTTCGCGCTGTAGGGAATTTTAAAAAAGTGACGTGAGTGGAAGGGCGGCGCCGGAGCAGTGTGTGTGTGAGCGGGAGGCAGAGCGACAGAGAGATGCGACAGAGTTGCGAAATTGCAGGCGTGGCTCGAAATGGCTGTTCTTTCAAATAGCGTAGCATATTTTAAACTAATCGGTTAACCGGTTTCAACCGGCTAATGAGGCTCGGTGGTCGGTCAAGAAAATTTTTAGTTTTCGCCATCCCTACCCACTGTTTGAAAACAGAGTTATGAGTTGTACAAGTTAACTGGAGTACATGGTTTTTATGACATATATGCAGATGCATTAGTCCGTTATCAACAAAGGCATAGAAAAGATACAGATAAAACATGAAACCAAATAAATGCACTATATAATAATATATGATTTGTCTACGTTCTTCGAGCAGTCTCTAGTATTTTCCATAAACATATGTGTATTTATTATTGGAATGGTTAGCAAGTAGACTTTAGAATCGCATATAAATATATTTATTTCGCAAGGAAGTTATTTCAAACACTCGCTGATGTCTGAAAGTGAGTTTTGAGCTATTTTTTTTTTAAAATGTCTTAAATGTCAAGGTTGGTTGGTTGCCCGATATAATAACATGGGAAATGAGCAACGGTATTGACTGTCTCCTGACTCAGCTAAACTCCGCCTTTGTTCATGACCACTTCTCAAACCACTTCTTTATATATTCAATATAACTATTGAATGGCTGACAAAGTGTTTCCTGTTTCCTGTCAGTATAATTGTCTGCTCTTAACTCAGATGATGACTTGTATCACATTCTTCTTATAAAAAAAAAAAAACCTGTCCAAATTGTACTCTACTAGTGCGGGAAAGGTAATACACCATGTGACTCAGATAACGAGTAATTTATGGTGAGAGGAGGAAAAATGTTTGCACTCTGGACCAAACTTTTGAGTTTAAAAGCATCAGACAAGTCAGATCAAGATTTGGGAGATGAAAACAGGTTAAGAATGAACACCAGAATAATTCTGGTCGTGTCTACCCTCCTAGACAGCCCAAATTGTTCCAAGCTATCTTTGCTCGGCCACGTTAATTTTGTGATAAGATTAATTCCACAAGGCCGCCCCTATATATCACACCTTCTCTCGCTTGCATCCCCGGTCCACGCTTTAAGGCCCAGATATACTTCAAGCGAAATCGAAGAACGAACTGATGTGTAATTTCTAACAAAATCAGGCCAAAACGAAGTTTTCATTCAGAGTTCAGAACGTTCAGAGTTCATTTTGGGAGTTCGAAAAAGCTTGCCAAAGTAAACTTTCCGGAAAAGTTTGTTCCGACTGCTAAACACCTTTGTACTACCATTGGTCTATGCCGGTTTACCCCGCCCTCTTTCACGTGAAAATCTTTTCTGGTTCATTTGGCCTGTTCAGTCGGTTCAGGTCAGACGTCCGTGAGTAAAAACATGAGCACACTGGAGAGCTGCTTTATAGTAGAAAATTAAGTTGTACTTCTGATGAAACGAGACAGTGACACTGTTTTTCATGTTGAATACGGAAAAGCGGCTTGATTTTAAGCTATATATTGTAAAGTGATATATAAATAAATGTTATGTGCCTTTACTGGAGTGCCGTGGAGCTCATCCAAACATCCACATTGCTATGATCAGCTGCTTTTCTTATGCTTTATTAAAATGCTTCCTGTTTTCTCAATTTTGTTGTGTCAACTCTTGTGTTTATTTTGTTATTGAGATGAAAAGCATGCAGCAAATATTTATATATTCATCTAAACTCTCAGCAGTGTGGGCAGCGTCAGATGTTCGATAACAGTATCGGTGGTCATGTATTTTGAACTTTGTTTTACCCCTAAACGAAGAACGAAAAAGAACTTTTCTGTGAGTATATCGGGCCTTTAGAAAACAAAATCTCCTTAACCCATACAACAGCCTATATCAAGGGTACTTCTTTGCATCTCCTTGGCCACCCCAGCTTTTGGACATGCCAAAGTAACCAGCCTCCTCAGTGCTGTTTGAGCTTTACCCTCTCGTCGTAGCAGCTTTCCTGTGGGGGAAAAATAGACTGCCAACAGTATTCTAGTTCATTGTGACAATGAAGCAACCATGCATTGCATTAATAAAGGCCGTTCTCACTCCTCTGCAATGGTGCCGCTTCTAAGACAACTCATTTGGATTTCAGCTTGCGATTAATTTGTTATAACAGCCAAACATGTCCCCGGGGTTAAAAAAAACAAAATGGTGACACCCTCTCTCGCATTCTTTTCAGAAATTTAGGCTGCTGGCCCAACCCCAGTACCTCACTATTGAAAGCTGATCTTTTCATAAATCACATTCTACAACCTCTCAACATGACATCATGACTTTGCGTAAACATACACGCCACTTTCAAGTCAAGTGGCATGTTATCTATACGCATTTTGAGCTATCCGCGTGTATGTCCACGCCGAAACGAACCGCCATCTTTTGCGTGTATGTCTATGCCGTTAAATGTCCGAGTGATTCCGCGTGTATGTACACGCCGTTAAATGTCCGAGCGAAACGAAGCAAAATGTAGATCTACATCTGGGGAGCGATATTTTTTTTCCTAGGATGGTAGGGGAAGACTCATAAATGGTATTAACCCCAGTGACGGGTAGGTTTAGGGACGGGGTTGGGGTAGGTCATATATTTATATATACAGTAATGTAACGTTAAGTCAACGGCGTTGATAAACACGCTGAAAAGCGATTATGCGTGTTGATAGCACGCCAAAAATGGAAATACGAATTGGCGTGTCATACATACGCCATTTCATGAGATCAGTCTGAACCTCTTCTCGACGCATCGCTCGACTTCACCCTTCAAGCCATTTTTCCTCTAGAACCCTCCAATCATACCTGACAGCATGGAGAGCTTAAGACATTCCATATCACGTACAATTGGCTGTTTCTCGATTTTTCCCTGCTTTCCGTCACCTTATTCATTTCTTATTTATAAAAAATCTCCAAAAAGGTTCCATTAGAGGCTACTTAGGTGGAATACAATTCTTTCATAAAAATGTATGGCACAGCCTCCCCGAGATAAACAATGTGCAGACATTTAAAGGTATTAAAAAAAAAAAAAAAACACCTACCCGCCCAGAAAAATCATAACTCTCGATATACTTAGTTAGGTATCTCCACCCTTCGCTTAGGCCATCACTCAACAAATACTGCCTGCACACTTGATGCAATGTTCATCTATAGCCTTCTTCGGTTTTCTCAGGTGTTCCAAACTCGCCATCGCTTCCAATTTCAACCCAAAAGTCCATCCTACAATTTCAGATCTATCCGTTTTAGACAGTGAAACCATTTCTTATTTCATTAAACAAAGCAAAACAATTCACACCAAAAAAGGCCATTTCATTTACATCTTCAATCTCCTGTCACCTATTCAGCCATTCCATTGTCTTTTATCTTATCTATACTTTAGAAGCTCACATGGTAAATGTAACATTTACATTTAAAGATAAGCATCACATTGATAAAATAATAATGGGAGCAGGTACCATGAACACATACAACATCCTAGACAATGTTCAGCAAATTATTTTATTTGCATGCTGTTGATTCAGGATTAAACATCCTGAGGACGAAAAAAAAAACATTGAGTTTTTTTTCTATTAGCACTCTCAAGTCTCTGATGTTACTGCGTTTTCCCCTTTCTCATTCCTTGGTTGACTAAGCAGCTCCTCTATTCTTTGAAGGTCATTATCAGTGTCCTGGTGTTTCTCACTCCTCATTTCTCCAATTAGATCCTCTGTAAGCTTTAGACGAGCATTCCTGCAATGGAAATATCAGCTCAATTATATTTTCAAAAGGATATGCGTCTCTTCATAAAATCTGTGCATTTAAAAAGATTCCCTTTTCTTGGTTCAACTAACCATTCAGTGACTCTCAGCTCATATAACTCTTGTCTTTCTCGTCGCCTCTTGTCACGTATAGTCTCGCCCCCCAGCTTCTGCAGACCCATGATTAAAACTCCAGCCGGCAACCTGTAACATCATCACATGTTCTTACAAATTAAATTAAGCAATATCACATGAGAAAGAGTGCTGCTATATTGAATATCAGCACAGATATAGAAACAAGGGGCACAGGACATCATGGCCATGCTGATATTCAGAACAACAGCATACTGTTCTCAATGATACTGCTATCATACAACAGTTTTATAAACAGTAAGTTATAATAGCATAATTAATATTCATTTTTAATATTACTCAATATGGCCAGCTATTTTCTTATTGTTAACCCCCTGGGTACCAGCTCACTTTTTTCTTATCAGTGCAAAAGAGAATCAAAATACTCTGTTGATTTTGATCTTACATATAAGTGTTATTCATCATTCAAAACTGTTAAATGTCTTCTTTTATTTGTGTACACTCATAATAAAAACAAAATGTTTTGTTTTTCGTAAAATAAACGATGTGCATTCTGCCGTCTCTCTCAATGTGAAGTCTATTCTGAAACGCGACAGAAAATGAACTGTTTCTCTGTGAATGTTTGACACACAGACTTGAGACATATGTCTTTACAAAGTTTGAAGTCTCTATTTTTAAATGATGTAAATTATATCAAAAACAAATATTCTCTGTTTAAGTAATCCATATGAAAGCAACGACATGTACAGTTTCTTCAGCCCTTGGCCATTAAATCTAATGTGACCACACCAACGCGCACAAGCAATTGACATGCAAATAGTCCACGTGAAGGAACGTAGACCTGAAAACGCCCCATCACCTCAAAAACTAAGAACCAAAGACTTCAGTATTCGTCTGCTTTTCATCGAGTTTGGAAGACATGTTGTGTTTGTGCTGTTTACCTTGGATTTACCTCAGAAGAATTAGAAGAACGCGATTTGAAGATGAGTACGATTTTTAAGGTAAGACATGTCCACTCATAATAGTAAGCATGTTATTGTTATAGAAACTTTACATTGTAGCAACTAGTAAAACTGGTGCCAGACTAAAATGTACGTTATGAAATGAGATTGGAGTAAAAACATGAAGCCTAATGCTAAATTTCTATACATGTACGACACAAGGATGTTTTTATGTTCGATAATAAAACACAGTATGATATAAAAGTAGGCTAGTATGAGTGTTTACTCTAATATGGTGAATATTATTATCTTGTTTAGACCCGTGTTTACTGTTAAATACTGTGTTTTTGGAGATCTGCTCAGACGTAGATATGTATAATATGGTAACAATAATGTTTCATAGTTTTTTTTTTTACAGGGACCAGATGCGACTGATGAGTCCTGCTGACTTCAACATGCACATGAGTCTCTGTACATGAACATGGTAAAATGAAAAATCAAACACCTTTGAAATGACAGGTATGTACTATGTTTCAGGAATGGCACAAAGGTGTGCGACTGTTCAAGTCTCTGTCTTTAGATCAGTGTGTTCAATAATGTGTTTTTTTTTTTTTTGTCCTTTGTTGTGTATCTTTGGATTATTTTGTGTTGTAAATAAATCCAAACAATCAAAAAGCCATTCTTTTTTTAAATCTCTCCTCATTCTTTGTGCAAGGTTCCTCATAATGATAGGGCCTGATAGCACCTGATAGGTCCATTAAGGGAGGGTCTTTCTCAGGTGTAAAAACACACGCATATTCATGATGATTCATGCCCTCCTCGCATAGAGCTTTCTTACACAAAACATGTCTTACAAATTTTAAATCAATATATTGTTTTATCTGAATGAGTATGCAGGATGATTTTCACATAGTTTTGAAGCAAATATTCTAGGCTACGTGATACAATTTTCAAAAGTTTTGTGAAGAAATAATCAGTATGGGTTTCATGACCTTATTTCAGTGACAATTTATTTATTTGTTTTTTTCACAAACCACGCATAAACGTCATTATCTCAAAACTACAAACTTTTACATACACGCTGCTGACATATTATTGTAGCAGAGTTTGTGCTGAATACAGTGTAATAAGACTTTAGCCATGAAAATGTCACAAGTAACAGAAATAAGTACAAATGTCAGAACACATCCAGGGCCCAGAAAACACATCAGACCCCAGAGGGTTAAATCAATGTTAATCAATTTGTTGTTTTTATTGTTTAATCAAACGTTTGATTGTCCCTGCTACATAGAATGCCAATGCTTGATCCTGCTTTGACTTCTGGAAGTGTGATGATTTAGTTGATGAATTTATGTAGTTGTTGTGGAGTTAACTTTTTTCAACTTGTCAATTAGCATGTTCCGTCATGTTCATCTGTAGAACTGTAGTTGGATGCCTACAGAACCAGAGAATATATGCTGCACGGAGATAGAACAGGTATCGTTGTTTAATTACCACTCTTAGTAGTCGATAAGTCTCTTATCTTTACAGAAAACACACTGTTTAAAAATCAGTCACCTTACTGTATTGTGCATAATAAATGTGCGTTTATGAATTATGCAGACGGTGAGTGTTTTCGGGATAAAACTAATGACATAGCTCATAGTGAATATAGTCAGAGACAATGGTAACTTTAACCACATTAGCCGTACAACATGCTAACAAGCACATTCAGAAATTAGATTTTGGAAACATTCACAAACTATGAAGTGCGATACTTAAGTTTATGAAGTTTGAGCACAAACAGTGGGTATCGACCCATCTTTCAGAATCAACTTTTGTGCAAATCCAGCGTTGAACTGACCCTTGTTTGCGAAGCAGTCATGCGTAAAATAATTTGATCAAGCATATAAAACTTTACCTAATTTCTTTGGCACATTTCCTTCATAAATAAAATTCATCCACTGTGTTCTCAGTGGCTCAGATGCTGGGAGTCTATAGAGTAAATATTTCAACAAATTGTTCGTGCTGCCTTTAAATTTTAAGTTTAGTCAACTTAAAATGTGAAGTTGAATTAACAACTTGGATATTTGAGTTATCTTAAGTTAAATCCGGGAAAGTTATTTTGACCCTAATTTTTAGGTTGTGATAGCTAATTGCAACAATATATTTTAACAGCTATAGGATCTGACAGTGAATCAGACAGCAATGACTCTTTCAGACTGTGAGAAAGAGACAAATTACAACTCCACACCCTAAATCAGAAGATCTGTCATTTAAGACTTTAACGAAACCCCCAGCTAAGTACTGTATGGCCATGCACGCTTGTAAGAGATGATCCAAGCTAAAATGAAGAACGTTGTCAATGGTAGGCAGTTAACCCAAGACTAATGGTCAAAAGGACGAGACATCGTGACTTGCACAAGGAAAACCACAAAGATAACGCCAGAGGTTGTTCGACCCCTAAGACAGACCGTATTCTCAAAGACCTCGGTTTGACCTGAACTCTTGAACCACAGGATTGAAATCCAAAAAAACATAAAATGCATCAAATCATTCCAAACCAATGCAAAACTTATAATCAAACATCATTCAACTGCATAATTCTATATCATGCAGTGTTGCGAATGTCGTAAAATTTCCATCATAATCTATTATTACCCGTCATTTTAATTTTCGTATTTTACGAAATGCATTCTGATAAAGGTCCCTTGGCCTTTGGAATTAAAATACCCCACATCATCACATACCCTTCACCATACCTAGAGATTGGCATGGGGTACTTGCCATAAGATCACCTCTCAATGCAAATCAAACCAGCTATTAGGCTAACTGAAATAAAACCATGCCAATCTCTAGGTATGGTGAAGGGTATGTGATGATGTGATGGGGCAATTTTAATTCCAAAGGCCAAGGGAACTTTATCAGGATGCATAGTATCGTGGATCCATGAAATAAATGGGCTTTAAAAATAAAAATCTGCCTGCCTCTATTGGAATTTAACATAGGGGTGTCCTGACTTATGCCCCCTGTATTTTAAGGAAGAACATTTATTTATTTACGATACATTATTCATTCACAAAGAAAATTGGTGTCCTTAAAGGTTGTATTTTTCCTCATTTTTTAATTAAGGCATTAAGATCAATTTCCAAAAGATGATTTTTTATTCCTCTTTTTAGTCAACTTTAGCATGGGTGTGTTCACTTATGCTAAGCACTGTAGTTTTATTGTGCAGCCCTTTTGTGTACAATCTATTGTGATAACTGGTATTATTTAAACATTTAACAGTATTAATTGTCTGCACACAGTCTAGTATTATCTAGTGTTTTTTTCATGTTTAATGCAGGTGAGTTGTAAAGCTTTTTAGGTTTTATAATACACCATGTATCCAAAAAAAATAATAATAATAAAAAAAAGAGAATGTCTGGACATTCATTTTATTTTAGTTAATTTTGGAGTTGTATTTTTAAATGCATGTTTTCATTTAGTTTTTTCGTTTCCATTTCCAAGTCCAATAACAGTGAGCATGTTAGTGTCTTTAACTTCACACTATGTAGAGCATGCTGAACTATGTATAGGCCTTTTTCAATTTGCTGTCCATTTTGTTGCACCTGACTGAGGTGTTAGTTCACCCAAAAATGAAAATTCATTTTCTTCTGTGTGGGCCTCTGAGTGAGTTTACGTAGTGTAACAGCGCAGGGCTTCTGTGTTGTACATCAGTACGTAGGCTCACTATTGGCCAGCATAACACGCATCACACACGACCAGCGTCAGCCAATAGTGAGCCTACGTTCTAACGTACAACCCAGAAGCGCTGCGCTGTTACACAGGCCCACACAGAAGAAAATGAATAGTTGAATAAAGTCGTTATTTTTGTTTTTTTTGCGCACAAAAAGTATTCTCGTCGCTTGATAAACTTAAGGTTGAGCCACTGTAATCACTTGGACTATTTTATCTTTTAACTAACTTTCCTGGCCGGCAAGTTTCAATTACAATAGAAGCCTATGGAGGAGAGAGACAGCTCTCAGATTTAATCAAAAATATCTTAATTTGTGTTCCGAAGATGAACGAAAGTCTTACGGGGTTGGAAGGGTGAGTAATTACTGACAGAATTTTCATTTTTGTGTTAACTAACCCTTTAAAGTATGTCTGCATTCTCACTGTGCACCAGGTGTAAGTGTGCTAAGCAGC